GGAGCTACATTTCACACTTTGCCCCATTCTGATCTACCTGCTGCAAGGATGCATCCTAAACAAAAACAAATAAAAATGTCCCACCCTGCTGTCTGAATTATTGCTGTGACACTGGTCTCGAAATAACGTTCTATGAAGCAAACACTACTTGTTTTCAGGAAATTCATACTTTACCATCATGTGTCTTAGCAACCGCACAAACCACTTTCAATATTCTCTGAAGATATCCATCCTCCCTACCTCTTTGGAACCAAGGCCCAAGGACTGAGGTTAATTAATGTAGACTCCCTTGAGTAAAATCTAGATGTGCGTTCAGTTAGTAAATCAGCAAAATGGTAACTCAGCAACATGCACACAAAAGATATTTACCTACAAAACTTAAAACATGTTTCCAATTCCCTGTGGATATATAACTCACACGGTCATAAAATGCAATGTTTACCGAGACAGGACATTTAGGCGACAAGAGATTTCATTTGTGCTGAGACACTTATCTTATCTTTTTTTTTTTTTCTTCACTGTTTGTCTCTGTGGATTACTTTTCTGCTGTAAATTCTTGCTTGCAAGAAAACATGTTTTTCTGTTTTCGCAAGCATCCTAATTTACAGGGTATTAAAGGTTATTTTGCTAACACTAGTGATATACGTAAAAATTAATGAGATTTAAAAAATATTTTTTTTGGCAAATTTCGGTTGTAAACACACCTATCTATAGTATACATAAAAAAATAGCTCGGTAAATCCGAGGCCTTAATGCCCCAAAATAGGTAAGTAAGCACAAAAACACAAGAACACAAAATTGCCAGTCTGAGGTTAAAATTGATGAGTTCTAATATTTTTTTCAACCTGTATATTAGAGAGTTGTGGGTAGTCCCAATATTTAATAATAGCCAACCATACACATGGGTTGCCAGAGTAAGGTTAGATCCTGCTTGCCCATGTGGATAATCAAAGTTTTGGACTTAACAATTTTTATTTATTTTCTCTCTATCAGTAGCTCACAGGAAGAAGAGCTCACACTTGCTCTGCACATGACTGTATTTTTTTTTTTTATCCTTTTGCCTCTAGCACATGAGTTAAGGAAGAGATAGGAGCTGATCCCTTTTATTTATGATTCTCGGGGTGTCTGGGAATCCTCAATGCTTTTATTGTTATGTTTTATATTTTTTTTTATAATTCTGTGCCCACAAGGTAATGGGGCTATTTGATACACCATTTATTTTTCCATTGATCATATTGCACCATTGAGTAAATAAACCCCTTTTTGTAGGTTTATCATTGCATGTATTTATGTTGGAATAATTGCAGAGATATTTGTGAGTCATACGCTTGATTTAGTTTTATTTTCCTGCATTCCATTGTACACTGGCATAACGTGCCCACATGACTTTACGTTCAGCTAGCCATCAGTTTCAATATATTCTGATATTTTAAAGCCGCAAAAACAACAAACAAACTGCAAACCTTTTGAAGTAAGTGGTGGAATTAACTACGTACCAAACATAATCCCCGTCTTCTTTTAGCTTACCAGATGAGGTTGGCCGTGGAAGATTGAATTTATATCTGTGTTATTGTTTCAGTGAAGCATAATTGTATTGTGATTAAGTAAAATTGAAAGAAAGTGAAGAATTGCGAAGAAAAATTTATATATCAAGACAGAAGAAGCATCATAGCAAGCTCCGAGTTATGGCTGCCATGGAAACAGTAAATCAACCATATTGTTTGGAGTTCTCAAGACACGTATTGCTTTGCCCGGGGCATTTAAAAAGCAGAATATATGATTAATGCGAACGTCATGATACATTTTGCAAAATGAACGTCTCTAAAGTACAGATATCTGTTTAATACATTACTTTGACAGAGCTGTTTTCCTGCAAAATCTTCCTCCGAAATACTTCGTTAGATATAGAAAATAATGTTATAACGGTAGATCATAAAAAAGTTATTGTTATTGTATAAGTTAGAACGTGTTGAAACTGGAAATTATGGACAAATACTCCAAGATATTCTTTAAAACGCACTAATCACGGAGCATAACATGGGGGACATGCATATTTTTTCAACCCTGTTCTGCTCTAGTTAAAACTACAGTGTTAGTAAATATTACTAAACTGGAAACACAGGGATCATCAGGATTCCATCAAATGTTGGATTACATCAAGGAGGAAAATAACCATCATGTATTAAGTATCTGGGACACACTTCAGTGGTGATTCCATTATCTAATGCATTACATGGGTAGAAAACTTCCATCACTTTCTTTGCTGCAAACCTCCGTACCCATGACCTTATCTTCACCAGGCTTGACTATTGCAACTCTCCCTCACTCATCTGTTACGTGCTGTCATTACTCTTCAAAATATAGTTGCCCAGTGGATGTGGCCTGACTGCAGAGTGGGCACGTGTCACGTCAGCTCCTGCATTGCATGGCATACATTGCTGATTATCAATAGATAGATGCTATTAATAAACATATCTTGAGTGCTAAGTGACAGGGAGCAACATAAAATTCATGACAATGCCAAATAAGTGCAGGACTTGTTCGAACGGCTCTTGCGGCCTGCAAGCGTGGTCTGTGTGGGGGAGGCGGCTGCTCCCCGACAGCCTTAAATGGCTGACCTGATCTACCTGCTGCACGGGGGTTATCCCGGGCCCCAGGGTGTCATCCACATACTTTATGGAATCGATTCCCCCAGCGAGTTTCTGCCCCAAAAATGGTGGAGATCACGGACAGGTGTACTGAGGTGGCACAACTGTGATCCACACTCCAACTGCTCGATGCTCTTTGCAGGAGAAACAGTGCTCCACACTCCAACTGCTCTTTGCAGGAGAAACAGTGTTGCCCTCCGGTGCCTCCAACTTATTTCACACCTGCCGCTGATAATGGTGGAGTCACCTAGAAGCTATGAGCATCAGATGTACCGGGCAGCTGGGACCTTACATCGTGTCCCTCCCCACTGGACAACAAAGACCGCTATGGAAGGCTACCATGCTTGGGACTATACACCTGACCCATACACACCCTTCATCTCTCAAGAAGACAGGTGACTGCTACCTGGAGGAATCCATGGTGGAGCCATTACGCTCATGTTAAACAGTGCTCTGGTCCTGGCCTCTGAGGACTTTCACATGGAGACTCAGGCATCAGCTGATCTCAAGCTGTGCAGGGGACCCTGATCACAACATGGATTGCATGCAGTAGGGATGGATCCTATAATTTCACATCTCTATTTAGCTATTTGCTTTCTCTTTACACACTATCAGCAGTACATTCTATTTTAAGCGTACCTATTTTATAAATCTGTCTCTCGACTTACTTTCCTTTTAACCATTCCAACCTCTGACAGGTTGTGTGTCTTACTTGTTCTACCCTTGTACAAAAAAAGTGCAATTTCTTTGACAATGTTGAATTTTCTTGACATATTGGTTTGTCTGTGATGTCATCAAAAGCCTTTATGAATATCTCTACACTGCACAAATAAATAATTCAAATATATATATATATATATATGGTTACCCATACACTTCTCAACATGCCCAGTCTGCCTCACACTTTCTTCAAAAATCTCCTTTTAATTTGCTTCCATTTTGCCATTGCTCTGTTTTCATGTGTTTTATCTGTGTATGCAAATGCCTCCAGGTAATTGCTTCTTGCTCTCTTACTTGTTAATCTCCACATCTGTTATCCCAGCCCATCAGAACAGGATTAACCTTAGGTGACCACCTAGGGTCTGCAGGCTAGACCGGGGCTCCACGGAACCATGCATATACTTGGCTCCATTCAACAATTCTATGAGAAGAAAGAAGGGTAGACCGTACTAGTAACCTTCCTAGGGATCTTTGAGATCTTAACCCTTCTCTGCAACCCATAACCATGTTCTTCATTTTCACTCCTAGCCCTATGCTGCTGCAAAAGATTACCTCCCACCTCAAGTCTGACAACTCTCTCTAATCTTTTTGCAAAATCCTGAAGACACTCCTCTTTCCAAAAGTCTTCCTTGTCACTTCTAACGTACTCTGCCATTCATAATTTACTCAGTGATCACTGTATTTTTTGTCTGTGTAAAGCAAGATGTGATAGGCGTGTGCAGCCTGTTGCATTAGGGTGTGCACCCTAAAGCACAAACGCCGCGTGTATATGTATGTATATATGTATATATATATATATATATATATACACACACATGCATACACTGCTGTGTGTCTGTGCTGTTAGCATGCTGTGTGAGGTTGCTGTGTGTGTAAGGGTTCTGTGTGTGTGTAAGGGTGCTGTGTGTGAGGGTGCTGGTAGTGTGCTATGTGAGTGAGGGTGTTTGTGTCTGTGTGTCTGTCAGGGTTCTTTTAGTGTGCTGTGTGTGAGCATGCTGTTTGTGTGCTGTGTGTGGGTATTGTGTGTTTGTGAGGGTGCTATTTGTGTGCTGTGTGTGAGGGTGTTGTGTGTGAAGGTGCACAGTTGTTATTCGGCATGTGCTATAACCCCACGTAGACCTTTAATAAGACACAGACACCATCTTTCTGTTGGAAATATGTAGTCCGCAGCTTTATTTAATTAAAACAGAAATTAACACATTGGGGTCATTGCCACATAATAATACTTTAATACAGTCCCCTCCATACACAAATACCCCTGGCAATGACCCCATATCAATAAACAATAAATAACAATATAAATAACATGTAACATAACACACGGCTTACCAAAGAGGCCCCATAACACGGCCTACCAAAGAGGCCCCGTAACCAATTGTTTAACTTGTAGGGGTGTGCCGAGACACCCCTACACCACCAGGTTCAAAGCCACCGATGAGCTTGAATCTACCAACCAATTGAACCATTCCATCCTCATCCAGCCTAAACCTTGCCATGACCACTTTATACTCCACCTACTTCACATTTATCCTAGCCATTCCCCGCCACAGAACATGGCTTGACACCTAAAGCTCATGGGCACCCCCCCAACCACAGAAGAACAGGGCTCTGGTAATACCCTCCTGAAACCCAAGGTTCAGGAAATCGCACCCCACATCTGACAGGTGCACTCCATCTCTCCTAAAGTACCCGGGGAGCATGCCCTCCAGTTCCCTGTGTCACACTGCCACACCACCCAGTCTACGAAGGTAGATCGACATAGCTTTGTTCACCTTACCCCGGCATCGGGCTACTGTGGCCGTGTCCCGGTGTGTCTCCAATTAAACCGGGGCACCATCTCCGACCACAAGGAAGCCAATAATGCAAGCAAAACGGCAATAAGAGCGGCTGAACTGGAAAAAAAAATAGAAAAAAGGAGGTCCACAGCCGTCACAACGTAGGGTGAAGGCAAAAAATTATATTTATTAGAGATCAAAAAGTACAAAAAAATATACAGCATTTTGGCATGGAGGCCTTAGTTATATTTGACTTGGGCTGCAAGGCCAAAACCTTGCATCTTTTTAAGTCATCTATGACTAAGGTCTCTAGGCCTAAACGTTGTATCTCTTTTTTGTCCTTTGGATGACTCAACAACTAAAGAAAGTTATTGTAAACAAAGCTCTGGGGCCTGATGATATTCACCCACAGGTACTTAAGGAGCCTAGTGTGGAAATTAGTAAATCTCTGTTTTTAATCTTTCAGGGTTCTTTTTTTTCAGGAATTGTACTGGAGGATTGGAGTGAGGCAGATGTGGTTCCTCTCTTCTAAAAGTGTTCAGAATCTTTGCCTAGTTATAGACCTGTGAGCTTAACATACATGGGTGGGAAAGTATTTGAATGGTTATTAAGGGATAATATTCAGGAATTTATTGGTAAGAATAGTGTTATTAGCAATAATCAGCATGGTTTTGTGAAACATAGGTCATTTCAAACTAACTTAGATCAGGGTGTTGCAGTGGATGGATTTGTATTTTGCCAAGGGTTTGATAAGGTTCTACACAATAGGTTAGTGCTCAAGCTAATATTGGTGTGTACATATATATATATATAAAAATAACAACTGTACCTTGCCCTCAGACTCCCTGATCTATACTTCTACTTACTTCTTCATAGAATTCAATTAGGTTAGTTTGACATGACCAATGTTTCATAAAACCATGCTGATTATTGCTAATAACAAAGTTCTTCCCAATGATTTCCTGAATATTATCCCTTAATAGCCCTTCAAATATTTTCCCAGTTACAGAAGTTAAGCTCACAGGTCTATAATTTCCAGGCAAGGATTTTGAACCCTTTTTAAATATAGGAACAACATCTGCCTTCCTCCAATCCTTCGGTACACCTGAAACAAAAGAATCTTGAAAAATGAAATACAGAGGTTCACTTATTTCCCCACTTAGCTCCTTAAGTACTCGTGGGTGAATACTGTCAGGTCCCGGAGCTTTATTTACATTAATTTTCTTTAATAGCTGTAGCACCTTGTCTTGAGTTATCCAATCACAAGTTATTTGCAAGTTTTTTGCAGCAATCATGTGCATATCTCTTGCCATAGGATCCTCATTAATATATACGTATGTATGTATGTGGTAGTGTATGTATTAGTGTATGTGGTAGTGTATGTCAAACACCAGCACAGCATACTAACACACTCCTGCAACCTAACACAAGTATTACATACAAACTCACCTCTGCATTCAAACAAAAATACTTCACACGTCTGCATTTAAAAGTAAACATTACATTTAACCCCTTAAGGATGGGTGACGGACGAGGTCCGTCACAGAGGGGAGACCCTTAGTGACGAGTGACGGACCTCGTCCGTCACGCGGTAAAATTAACCCCGGATCGCCGCTATCGCGGCGATCGCAGGGTTAATGGTGCTCCGGTATGCCTCAAAAAGTACAAAAAAATATACAGCATGCAAACCATGCTGATTATTGCTAATAACACTATTCTTACCAATAAATTCCTGAATATTATACCTGAATAACCATTCAAATACTTTCCCACCCATGTATGTTAAGCTCACAGGTCTATAACTAGGCAAAGATTCTGAACACTTTTAGAATAGAGGAACAACATCTGTCTCACTCCAATCCTCCAGTACAATTCCTGAAAGAAAAGAACCCCGAGATTTACTAATTTCCACACTAGACTCCTTAATGATGATTCTGCCCCCTGCTGTAAAGAAAATAAAGTTAATTTAAAGTCCCACCCCCCTTTACCCAGTGTAATAAAAAATTAACCCCTTCCCTGCCAATTGATCACCCCTTCTGATCTGATTTTTTTTTAACCCCTGAAGGTTAATTCTTCTTTTTTTTTAACCCTCAGGGGTTAAATTTATTTAATTAATTAATTAAAATATTTTAAAATTATATATTTAGCTAGTTGGGGTGGGTGGAAGTTAGTGGGGAATTGGGGGATTTGGCATTAGGCTAACTAGGGGTTAACGTTAAAAAAAGTTTTAAAATAAAATTTAAAAAGTAAAAAATTAAGCTTAAAAAAAAGTTTTAATAACATTTAAGTAAAAAAATAAAAAACACCCCCCTTTACCTAGTCCAAATAAAAATTAACCCCTTCCCTGCCAGTCGATCACTGCCTACAGCGATCAAATACAGATCACAGTATTATACTGTGATCTAATTTTTATTAACCCCTGAGGATTAACTTTTATTTATTTTTTAACCCTCAGGGGTTCCATTTATTTAATTAATTAATTAATTAATTAAAATATTTTATAACTATATATTTTGCTAGCTGGGGTGGGTGGGAGTTATGGGAAAATTGGGAATTTACTGTTAGTGCTGCTTACTGCTAGTTAGGGGTTAACGGTAAGAAAAAAAGCTTAGAAAAATGTTAAATCTGTAAAAAAGTTTTAAGAAGGTTTAGGAAAGTTTAAAAAAATTAATAAGCAAAACAAAAGTTTAAAAACAAGTTTTTAAAAGTAAAAAAGTAAAAAAAAAGTTAAAAAATACATTTTGAAAACGCTCATTACCAATACACCTGGAACAAACTAGAGAAAAAATTATCCCACGCCAAGGTTCAAAATATGCCTTTTGAATTACCCCAGGGTGTATTCTTTAATAAATAGTATGTGTTTGTGGGGAAGTTTCAATAACCAACCGTCTAAACTACTCCAAA